TGTATTTGGTGCCTCCTTGTACCAATATCTATGCGTTAAAATAAATAAATAACACATATCCAAACCACCTCAGTTGATGAAGATTTACTACCTCATCAATCAATTCCTCATCTTTACCTAATATTCTATTTCTAAACCAGGTATTGTCTGCTCTGCGGTCCCAAAATACACGAGTGATGCTTCTTGGACATATATGATAGAACACCAGTAATCTACGAATATCCTCTACTCGTAACGGCCATATTTCACATCCATAAAGCAGAACGGAAAGAACTGTTGCTCAGTAAACCCGCCCTTTGGCTGAAAGATGGATATCTCGCCCACGCCACAAGTGAAGCAATTTGGCACAAGCCACTTGAGCCTATTGAATCCGTGACGAGATGTCGTCACCAGACCATCAGGACTAATGAGACTTCCAGGATAAAAGAAGCGGCCGATGCGTTCAACTACTTCACCTCGTATCACTCATTCGGGCTATAACGTGGGCCAATCATGAAGAAACATTTTGCATTCGGAGGGTGAGAATCGCATCGCAAACATGCTTTCACTGTTGCTTAAGGTGATCAGAAGACTGCATTTTGTCAGCGTCTTCACCAAACAGAACTATATGATCTGTATATTCTAAGTCAACAAGTGAAAGTTATCTCTAAAAGAATGTCTATGACAAAATTAAATAAAAATGGTATGCACAACAAACGGTCTGATAGTTTCGATGACTGATCAAACAGTAGTTAGTTAAAAAAACTCTTAAAAATAATCTATTACAATCCATCTAGGCACTAATGTTAATCGAGCCAAGTTGGCGCAAGTTAATTTAATAGAACGAAACAGGGATTATAATGGTAATAATACCAATGAAATTAGCAAATTAAACATAAAAGAAATAAAAATGAAGCCAAGGAAATGCAAGTATGAATATTAGAGCTCAGTATTTCTAGGATGATAAAGAGAGAATTTCTACATACACTGAAATTATTGATCTTAAACCATGTCAACTAAAGTCTCTACTAATAGAAATTAAGATTATCGTGAAGGAACTGCCGATCGAGAGTTTCAATTATATTGTGACATGGCTTGGTGCAATGATCAATGACTGTATAGGTTAATACCATCATTACTACGTTATCATCCTGCTTATGTGTTAGTAAGAACAATCGAATGATAAGAACTATCTAGGCGCGTTTATAAGTCATTGCTTAAATATCTTTCAGTTGGTGAAAGTCTATAGCCTTATCGATTGATTTTTCGTTTCCAACTAGTATTTCACACTGTGCACCAGTAATGCGTCGAAAATATCTACGACTAAATATTATCACCAAATGTATGTCTCATCATCTCGAATACTGTGTTTCATTGTTATAGGAAAGAAATAAAGCGATAGGAAATGATTTTGTATAATGAATGAGTGTTCGGTTTCTATACATTCACTCACTGTACACAGACGAGGAAATAGAAAGCTTATGACTGAAAAGTTATTCAAATCAAAATTAACAAATAAGTTTCCTTTAATAAACAATAGTGTGAATGTAACACTAAAAAATAGAGCTTTATTCAAGTTACAGTATTATTTAACAGTAATTTCTTATAGTTTATAGAATGTGACCTATGATCATAATACATATGAAATATAAATATGAATAAACAGCATAACTGAAATCAGTAAAAAAAAAGGAAACCTACCTTGATTATGCTCGATTCTTGTATGATAAGTTTCACCACGTACACGAAAACTTAAACTTAAAATATGTGTGTCATGTCCACTATCACGAACTAAAAAGCTACCGTCTGGTCGTTTAGCCAGTAAAAATTGAGCATCTTGGAAACTTAGTGGACCCCAATACCAGCCCATCTGTTAAATGAACAAAATTAAAAAATGTTTTTGGTCTAAAACATACTTAAACAATGTCCCAAGCATATAAAACTCAACAGCAGTAAAAAGAATGTTGACTTATATATTAATGGGTGAATTATTAGATATTTAATTATTCTGAAAAGTTGAAGATATATTAATATTCCTATCTACACTAATAAGTCACAACTCTAACAAAAAGAAAGTCTACAACTGTAGTAAAAAATTAAATTCCATGGAATTCGTATGGATAAGCCATACATGAGAAATCTTTATTTACAAAATCATACACACGACTCTATTAAGAAACACTTTATCACATACTTATAACCAACCAGTTTTAAATGAAACTAATTTTCAATGAGAAGAATATGTAATCTAACTTTATCTAGGTTCTAATCCCACTTCATCTATTTCGAGATAGAAAGCTGGTCAGTATCACACGAGTTTTCAGTGAAAAACGTCTAAAGTAAAGTCAAACACACAAACGTCAACTTGTTTAACGAGTCGCATAAAGATAAAGCATAGTAGTGTAGTGAATGAAGACTAGGTGGGGATAACCAATTTATGGTTTAATGCAAAATTACAGAGTACTTTCACAAAATATGAACACTATACATCACATACATCATTTTCACATCTTTCTCCAGTTGTCCTTTACATGCCTCATGATTCTTTTAATTCTGCTGTTATTAAAATCGCTCTTTGTATACATCCCTGTTCTTTTCGATTCAATATTTTGCTGCCAGGCATTCCACTTCTGATTGGCGTTATATACTACTTATGTCTGTCAACATAAGTAGCACACACCACAGTAGCATTAGATACTAAAGACTATGATTCAGTTTGGTCATATGAAAACTGTCGATGCAGAGTACGGCGTGAATCCATGAGGTACTTATTTTCGGTTGGTATAATAAATCAATGAGCGATATACATGCATAATAGTGGTGTTAACTTATAGCTTGACCTATGAAATTAGCTAATCAATCGGTCATTATCAACATAGAGGTTGGCACAGATGAGCGCTAACCTAAGTTATTTGATCACAATATGACGAGACGAGAATGACAGGGTAAACAGAAGCAAAATCGAAAGAATTTAGTAGCAGTGATAACGACGAAAACTAAGCACTGAAAATATGGTTTAAAAAGATGCTGAAAAGGTATGGACGAAGGGATATTGGAACCCGAAAATGAGAAAAAAAATGGAGTTGATGTATCTACAGTATCGTGAAATAAAAATTAACTGAAATCAACCCAATGGACAAAAATTGTTGGAACGTTTGTTTAGCAAAAATAACCGCATCAAAATATGACGCTACAGTTTACCGAATCATGTATGTAAATATTCCATGAAGATGCTGGTGATGACTAGGACAACAATGAGAGCTTCGCAACTAAACCATCCAGCTCGAAAACCATATATACATGGAGAAAACAAAGTTTGGATAATAAAGAGGCTTTTTCAATTAAATTAAATGTTTTACACAAATTTAGCAGATTGGTGAATCAGATCGGAGTGTCACACTTTTAAACATCATAAACAGCAAATTCACAAAAAAAAACGCAGAATAAACAAGTACAACTTAATCAATACCCTAGATTAGAAGTGTGTCTATGGCACAAGAATCTAAAGCCAGGCACACAAACTGACTTTTATAAATTCATGGTTCGCACATATTTATTCAATAAGCCTATAGTCCCCTATAGAGACAACGATAAAAAAAACCCTCGTAATTTTTTGAGATATATGATTTTAGACACCCCACTTCCTTCTCTTTATATATAATTTACATGACATGGCATGATTGGTCACTAGATGATCAGACGGGGCTCACTAGTCTAAATGCACAAAATTTCACATTGATTAGAACATGTAACAGTTTAAGTCAGTCAACTTGAACAAACATCTATCATTTCAATGATGAGCTTGTAGACACTAGTCACAATATCTCAATACTCATGCTCTCAACACAGTTATCACGATAGACTTAAAAAAAAATCATTAAACATTAAATATAGTGACATTTTGTCACAGGAAGGTTGTCAGTTGCCATAATTATAAAATGAGAATAAATACTACTTATATACCATTAAAACATGAAACTGAAAACATATGCTAAAATCGACGGTAGTAGAGAAAAGCAAAACAGAAATTTCAAAATAGCCAACATGACTTGGAGTACATCTATATACATATCAGTCAACTACACTGTAGGACCAGGCACATATGTGCACCGGTCCAGTTTGCCATACCTCATTAACACAACAAGATGAACACTGAATACATAAAGTCGTTAATTCAGTAGTGGTAATATATACAAGAAAGATTGCATATAAGGATATAGTACAGAAAGAAAGAATTAATTTGTAGAAAGAAAGATATGGAACGATTTTAATCTCATAGTTTAAGGGAAGACAGAGGGTGTATACACCTACGTCATTGTGTTCAATTCTGAGCCGTCACCCACAGTCTTCAACCATTGGTTACGATCGTCAGACGGATCCGAACCAAGTAGCCCCCAAATGCCCTGGTATGGCTGAGAGTGGGGTGGGCCCGCCCTCTCTCTCGAAACGCTCTCGCACGGCCACGAGTGTACAGCCTCTACCAGGGAAGTCCTACCCACTGCCTTCTCGTGGCGCGGGTGTTGTTTGCGAAATTGAGAGGACGATAAGAGAATGTCCGGTGCTTTAACCGGATTCCAAACCAATAGTGCACATGGGCTCCAGTATCCTGAAGGAACAAATGGCGTATGAACCAATCGTTGGTCACCGGCTACCATGGGACTGAATCTCCTAACGATGCTTCACTGCCTTGTGGGTTAGACCTTTAGGTCGAAGGCTCCGGATGTGGCCCCCTAAGAAAACCACCTGCTTCGGTTTGGACACACGGGCAGTATCACAGCCCTCACACATATCAAATGAGATCTGTGTGGCGCATTTGTATTTGGTGCCTCCTTGTACCAATATCTATGTGTTAAAATAAATAAATAAAAATCTACTAACATGGCTCAGACTAGAAGTTAGTGAATTCAAGGACTGATTCTAAGTTTTGATTAGGCCGCTCCTAACTTTCTTCCAACCATCCCCAACACTAGTCAGCATTATCAATATACATATATGTATAATTTTCATTTGCTATAGCGATAAGAGGATAAATAACTTTATTCAACTAGTAGATCTTCAACAACAAAATAAACCCAAACAATATTGAAACGATATAAGGGTAACATAAAAAGCAGACTAGTAGAGAAAATCATGGACACACATAAAAAAAAAAGAAAGGAACTGATGAAATATTAATTAGAAAAATGTAAAATAGTTGTTACATTCATAGTAAGTTTACGATTGTTCTAATTTTGGGACTATTTATTCTAATGAAGAATGTATAGACAGACATATATAAACATTTATTATAGTAAAGGATATATGTGAAATAGTTCATTTTTAGACAAATAATTATGATACATACAATTGTATATAGCACACATATAATGAGTCATATAATATTCATACCCTTTTTGTTTAAGAATATACAAGTATGATGATAGTCATAATCAAATTGTTTAGTACATACAGAATACAAATAATACAAATATAAATCTCTATAGGGATAAATAGAATAAAACTAAAATTTGGACAAGTAAATTACTTGATAAAGGAAAAATAATATTTACAATTAAGATTTCATTAAATCATTGATACAAGTTTGTATAGAATTAGTTGAAGTTAGAAATTAACACCGTTGGATGCCGATTCAATGGGGTCTAGTGGTTAAGCGCTTGCGTGCGCGAGACTCATAGGTCCTAGGTTCGAATCTTGTGGAGGGAAGGGGCGAGATCGTGGATGCGCACTGTTGAGGAGTTCCACAATTGAACGAAACGGCCGTCCAGCACTTCGGAGTTTTCCATGGTGGTCTAGTTTCAATTGACTCATGATCTCAAACATTGAAAGAATTTAAATTGTTTAATGGTTTTTATTCATTATTTACAATTAAGTAACTAGTAATATAGTAATAAAATATGTATGAGAACTATATAATGCAGATTTAAAAGAGTATAATTTTGTCTAAAGTATAGTGAATAATGTCTTAGATGAAATAGTTAAAGAACGTTTACTGTATAATGATATTGTTCAGTTGTAGAGAACGATGTAGATAAAATGTGACTATTTATAGTCGTAACTCTCGGATGTGCAGATGCAATTTTTTCTAGTCAAACAATAGACATATGACGTAAATCTTAGTTAACCGTTGATCAACAAGTGTTTATAAATACGGTGTTCACACGTGCGTTCAACTGTAAAACAGATCACTGACACTAACAGCACACTACGCCTGTATGTACTTCTTGGGAGTAGTCGATGGGAACAGTTGAAATGTTCTTATAATTCGGCTAGTATATTGATAGTGTTTGTAATAACTCCGCATGTAGTTATTTTAGGGTGCATGGGGTCAGAAACCTCATCCCGTAAAAAACAAACTTGCTTAGAAAACGCTAACCAGAATAAACAATTTAAACCAATTAAACTCTGCCCTTCGACTTCAAGGAAAAATTACCACACCTCATGTTGAAAGCCCAGATTCTTCGGAAGTCACAATACCGATGTCCCTTCTAACAACCACAGCAACAATTGATATACGTACATCGAATGTTCAGACAATGTGGGAGACCGAAAGGACCAATCAAATAGCTATGGAAATGAGAAGATACAACTTGACGGTTCTCAGAATCGCGGAAACCCATTCGATCCGGAGGTTCTGTGATCAAAGAAGCATCACCATAAGCTGTAGATCTCTATTGGTATCGATGGCAGTATCCAAGAAAGCAAGAACAAGAAGACATCAATCAACAACAGCCGAATTAGAACAGAGAAAGCCAACGCACAAGTTGAGTACACAGAAGCAAAAAACTAAGTGAACAACAGCACTAAAACTGACAAGCACAAATATATGGAAGACCTAACAACGGCAACGGAAAAAGCTGCAACAGAACCAAATATCAAACAACTTTATAACACAACGAAGAAACCAACAGGGAAATAAGACAAAGCAGAGAGATCGGTCAAGCACAAGGAAAGCAAAACAATCACCAACATTCAATGACAGAGCAATAGATAGGTGGAACACTACGAGTAACCCTTAAATACACCAGCTCCATTGAATCCACTGCATATCGAAACAACACACACACACACAGATCTTCCTATCGATCTCATTCTACCAACGATCGAACAAATTACAATATCCATCAGACGAATCAACAGTGGGAAAGCAGCACGACCCGACAATATACCAGTCAAAGCGCTAAGGTCACGCATAGAAGTAACTACAAACATGCTCCACGTTCTATTGAGGAAGATTTGTGAAGAAGAACAAGTGCCACCGACAGACTGGAAAGAACAATACATCTTCAAGATACCAAACAAAGGAGATATGAGCGAATATCAAAACTATACAGGAATCACACTACTGTCAGTACCACGAAAGATTTTCAACAGTGATGCTGAACCGGACGAAAGACTCAGTAGATGCCCAACAGGTTGAATCCCGTAAGGATCGGTCGTGCACAGATCAAGTCGCGACACTACGGATCATCGTCGAACAATCAATTGAATGGAACTCTTCACTATAGATCGACTTCCTCCATATATATACAGGTGGAAAGAAATGAACTTCGTCTACATCAACGGAACAAGAGAAACATGCCACAAAATCCCTAGCATTGCGCTTTACTTCCTCGGATAAATTTGGTTGAGACTTCTAGTGACAAATATTCATGTGTTAAAAATAGAAATCAGAACCTTACCTTTCTCAATTCTAACATACTTCGATGAAATGACGATCGACTATCTTGTAACGTAGATGACAACCTTTGGCTAGATGTGCGTGTTGAGCTGATGGGCGCTGCTGTACTTATACTATCAGACGCCCTAACATCATAGGCGTTATAGGTATGACAACTGCTCACAGGCTGAAAAGGAAGAAACAAGATAAATAGTCCGATGACGTGTTTAGATACAAAACTGATTATTTATTGGAATCTTGAAAAATCAAATGTATCGTTAGCTTACTGACAGGCATTGAAAACTGGAAGAGGTATCCGTCTATTAATATGAAAAAAGGGTTTTAGTACGCAAGACATTGTTCCTGACTGTATTAATAAAGCTGGATAGTAAATTTACGACATTAACGTGGGAAACTGTTACTATGACGCGTCTTTTATTTCCTTGCCATTGCAATTTGCTAGTTAAATCCCATATTGGAGCATGGATAATAAGAAAAAAGAATACTTTCCAAAGAACCGAAACAACGAAAAGTACGAAAGTGGGGAAGAGTTTATATAGAATTTATGGGAAAAACATTTTCAAACTGTTTATCAGAACTGATTGTTCGAAAATGAACTAGTTAGCATATAGCAATAAAGCCTTGCATAGAAAATGGAATATTCAGCCTTCTCCTCAATGGCTGGTATTCGTTCTGATCGATGATGTACTGATCATGTCCCCACCCTCCACTAAATACTAGAATACCGTCGTACTTATCAAAGGCCAACAATCATAGTGTTTCTTGACATTAGGGTTGCATTCAACTCATTGGACAGGACTGTTCTCTGGGATTGCCTATTGAAGAAGGATGTTCCTGAGTTTACTAACATCCTAAAAGCCCTATATACAAATACCTCAGGCAGATTGAGGGCATACAACCACCTCTTTCCACTGTTCCATTCAAAGTGGGGTTAGACAGAGTTACCCAATCTCACCATTTCTCTTCAACTTTGCCATTGATGACATTCTGGAAACAGCTCTGATGGATGTAGGTAGTTGCGGTGTGGATCTGTTGCCTGGAGAAAGGCTTCTCGACCTTGAGTATGCGGATGATATTGTCTTACTGTGCGATGATACCCAAACCATGCAATTCGCACTTAATCAGTTGGGACTTAGTGTCCGTGGATATGGCACGTACTTCGCACCTTCCAAGTGCAGAGTACTTTTACAAGACTGGCAGGACTCTGGTCTTGAACTCACCCTGGATAGTGAGGAGATAGTTGTAAAACAGTTTGTACCTGGGTAGCTGAGCAAGGGCTGGGGTTGGAGTGAGTGATGAGATCAATTCACGTATAGTGAATATTACCAGTATTAGCTTTTTTACAACTACTAGTACTACTATTTTATATCGACTAATAATAATGATACAAATAATAATAATAATATATATATATATATACTTGGAATTTCCCAGAGGCAATTTTATTGTCTATTAGATTCAGCTAAAATAAACTAGGAAGGATTGGATGGTTTTTCGCCTTATTTTGAAACTTCAAAAGGAGTCACGATGACCAGTAGAGAACTGAACCCAGATATGTCAGGACTCGTAGCGATCTGGCAAACCGTAAGTACAAGCAAAACAGAAGTTCAGCTTTCCATGGTTTTTGATGATTAGCTCAATGAAAATCATTGATGTTAACTCTTCTAATCAGTTATCTACGTGCACATCCTCAAATTTAGACTAATTCTTAGTTTTTACTACTAAACTAATATCGAAGTAAATATCTGAGCTTCAATAATCTAGTAATAAATTGTTACACAGCGAACTAAATGTTTTAAAATTCATTTAATATACATACATCAGGAACTGTTTTATGAAATAAACATATATTTAACTTTCAGAAGGAAAGAGATAATAAAATTAATTCCAACTTTACGAGGATGACTCCATGGAAAACGTTTACAGAAAAATAATTTTCAATGAACAGATGACTACTACAAATTTACTCACAACTTGTTCCGCAACGCCAACCTGCTGATTCTGACAGGAAGATGGAGAACTGACTATTGCTTCCTCTATGGTGCACGTTTCCAAGGCAGATGCAATTGTTGTCGGTGGACGTTGTCTGTCACAGACAACTGGACTGGTAACTGGACTAAGAGGACAGGATGCAATATCATTGGAGACACCGTCTGCACATTCGTGGTGATGATGGTGGTGGTGAACATGATGGACATGGTGTATGTGATGGACGTGATGAATTTGACCGTTCTTGTCAATTATAGTAGTTGGATGTACCCCAAATTCGATACCTTCAGTGCATTTTAAGACCTTTTTGTTGGAATCGACAGGAATCTCACAGGGAAGGTGAGAAGTAACTGAATTCGTAGTATCACAGTTGGAATTATTTTCATGTTCTTTAACCAGTAAGACATCAGGGTTTAGTGGAAGAATCCCCTCATTGAACTGAGGAGTAGTAACTTCATCGTTGTTTTGTTCTTTCCCGCTGTGGGGTTTCGATATACCCGAACAATTTGAACTGTTTAACCAACACCTATGGTTTTTGCGGTTGGGACAGCCACAAGCTGGAACTTTTGTAGATGATGAATGATTTCCCATGCAAGAAAAGCATTCTCTAGTAGAATCAAGGGGCTGTTATTGGTAGAGAAAAACACAGTTGAGTGATTAATAGCCTCGAAGAAAAGAGATGCGTGTAGTAAAAAAAAGATGTAACACAAATGTAATTAAAAGGCTTGACTATCGGACATGTTATTAAAGATAATACTAATGATCACATACTAAGTGTACCTGATATTAGTAAATGTAACTCGGTAACTATCGATATTTACACACTAAACTGTGAACTAAATTTACTGAGACAACAATAATGGGTCCCTAAACTATTGAATCAGCATTGCCACCAACATACTGAGCAGTACAGGTGAGACTACTAAATTAAAGAGTAGTTGGTTTAGCCATCAGCAAAGAATTGATCACGTTTCCTGAAGTGTTCCAGAAAACATTTCGACTGGGTTATTAGGATAACTAAACCAAACCATCATAGAAAAGTAGCAGCAACGATTTGGAGTGAGAAATAGAATTTGCCATGTTAGTCCTAGTCAGGATTAAAAACGCTTTTTATGACAAATAATTTTCAAGTTTTTCCAGTTATTCATAAATCGTTAAAAGGTCATATGTTTGAATTGTTACTTGGAAGTGGCTAAAACAGGCAATTTACATATACTTTAATGGATTGTGCAGAAAGTACTTTAAACAGATTTGTGACCGAAGAACTTGAAGTTAAGCACATAGGTTGCAACTCAAATCTATTTACCAAGGTTTGTGTGCAACCACATACCAATTTACTACTTATTATGACATCTATCCATACCAAACTAGTAATTCGACAATTGTGTGAAGTACCTAGACTGCTGATGACTGATTCTTAGATTTTTCTGATGTTAAATGCGTGATTATCTAGTACTCTGTAGACACCTGCATCCACTGTTAATTTACATAACACTAGGCGAAATAAAGGTTGGTAGCGCTATTATTGCTGGATACTATCTGAAACCATCTGAAAACTAATTAATAGTAATAAACCATATTGTCGAGCTTAAAGAAGTTACCAGATTTGTGGTCAAATAGATCAAATACATTCAAACCATGACTGAGACTGGTAATATAATACCTTCCCAGTACTAAATGTCATTTTATTTCATTTGTGTGAAGTATCGTCTCTATATTTGAACACACAATGTTCGGGCACAGCGACGCTGATTCGTTTGGTGTCATTATCTTGAAACATCGACTTTGGTGGCTTGGACATGTTCTACGAATGTCATCCCAGAGAGTTCCACGTCGTGGATTATTTGCCGACTCTGGGACTGGTTGGAAGAAGCGGAGAGGTGGTCAGTATATGACATGGTGTCGTGGTATGAAAGAAAGCTGCAAAGTGCTAGCTTCTGTTGGTCCTTCACGACTCCATGGTTGGGGTCCTAGAGACGTAACGCGTGGCTAATTTAATTCTAGACTGTAGAGCGAAGGAAAAACTGGACAGAAAATGACTCTGAGTTTTTGTCAGACTCCAGGTAAATTTGAAGTCAATTCAGAGTAAGTTGCTTGTAGTAGCACGGAAGAGTAGCAGGAACTTAGTGATTATCCTCGAACCAGGTCAAAGATCCCAACCACTACCTACCTACCAAGGTTCGTGGATCCGGGCAGTATTAGTGACCCTCACAATATGACCGACAACTCATACTTCACAAAAGTTACACCAACACTTAAAAACATTTTCAGCAGTGAAATGACTGCTACAAAATACCAGCGAATAAACTACCGCGAACCATACATATTTTTTCCTCGGAATATTAAATACTCTCTTTGATGGACTATAAGAACCGTTCATGAAAAAAGCCAAAATATGGAGATAAATACTTACGTTTACGTGACCGGATACATAGGGGGAACAAGCACAAATCATTGCGAGGGCAGACTCTGGTCTTTTATGGTTTATACACATATTTGGATGATTTGGAGTCTGGTATCTGGACTGGGAAGCTCCTATAGTTTTGGATACATGTACCTGTTTTAATCGACTGTTTGAAGGGCTTATACTATCAAGGCGCTCAAAATGTCTTTTTGTTGTATCTGGACTGAAAAGCGAATTCCTACACTTAATAATAGAGCTCCGACTGTTTTCTGATCTCGGTGGAAGTGAATGATGGTCAACACGGGGATTCAGAGTTGCATTAGATTCACAGCCATTCTGATTATATGAACTAAATCTGACTCCTTCAATAAAAGAACTATTATAACTGAAAGAACGTTTTTGTTGTACGAAACGACCCCCAAACTTCTGATCGAAAATATCCGTCTTCCATTCGCGATCCCTTTTATGAACAAGCGGTTTCAGTCGCCTACAAAATCTATCTTCATTTAGATGAGGTAAAGTTTTTACATTTACAACGGAATCATCTGGTGGGTGGGGAAAATTTGTTTTAGGAGATTTGAAGCTCTTTGAAGCATGAAATATACGTTGGAAAGTGTCAGATATCCATTGTAAACTGCCGCACCTTGTTTTGTTTGTATCAACTTGCTCCTGGTGATACCGTGAAATCTTTCGGCCAGCAGAATGATCTGAAATTAAATTGAGACCACGATATTCTGAGGAAAAGCATCCTTGGTTCGATGCATAGCTAGAGTCTAGTTTATTACCACCATTAGGACCCCATATTTTTGCAGAGCAGGAACAGTTTGATGCTGGTAAGTCAGATGTTGAGCTCGAATCCCTTCCGAGCTCGCATAAATTAACTTCTTGATGTTTCAGGACTCCCTGACAGATATGTCGTTTTGTGAACCGTTTGCAAATGGATGGCTGTGTGATTTTCGCATTAGAAATATTTTTATCGAACGTAAACAAACAGGAATTACCATTCCCGTCAGATGAAATTTTACCTGGTCTACTTGTTTCACTCTTTTGGTGCGACGAGTACTGGAACTTCATACTGTTGCTGTTAGGTGTTTGAGGGCATTCAAGACATTTTTTGTAGTTTACACCTTCGTGATCCGGTAGAGGGTCGATTGGATGTTTCTGAGGTTTATCGATTGAATCAACGTCACATGTAGAGTGTGGATGCAAACCGTTTCGCCTGCATACCGCACAAACGTCTGAAAAGCGACCAATGGGCGAAAAATTCGGGTTTTCCAAGTTGATAATTGGTTCACATTTTATACATCTATGTTTTATTTGTCGAAGTGGACGAGATGTGGGTTTTGGAGGAAGAGGGGGGATTTGTTTAAAAGCTTTTGGTGGGATGGGAGGTGGATTTTTATCTGTCGAAGATGATGATGGAAACTGACCGACTCCACATTCATAATTCGCCTCCTCTTTAGGAGACACAACGGTATGCTTTTCACATGCACAAACTCCGGTCTCAAATTGCATGGCATGCTCAAAAAGAAACAATAGGGCGTGAACAAACAAAAATATTAATGAGATTTGAGGCAAGCTGACTTCTGAGTACTCTGGAAGTTGACTCCATTCTTAATAACACCAACTATAGTACCGCATTTGGATGTAATGCGCGCCATGCGAGAACACGAGTATAAATGGTTCAAATGGTTGTGGACGGAATAGAAGAAGCTTTCGCTTAACAGGCTTCCGTGTCTAGTAGCAGGGGGCCACCAAATCCTCCAGACAGGAACCTAGGTATGTTAACAACAAAAGAGGAAAAGAAATTGGTAAATCATAGTGTCATGCTGTCCTTGGTCCTTAAGAATAGGTCAAGTTGCCTCTTGAAGGACTCCTGAGAAGTCGCTTGGACTAGCTCAGCCGGCAGCGAATTCCAGCTTTTGACAACTCTTAAGGAGTAGAAGTTGTGTCTACATTCCGTCTTGCTAAGTTGTGTTTCCAGTTTCTGGGTGTTACCCCTTAGGTTATTATTCGAACTAAGCTTAAGTAGGTGTTTAAGATGGTGTCCAGACGTGTTAAGAATACTATAAGCCATTAATAAATCACCTCTAAGACGCCTATACTCTAATGGGTAAAGGTCTAGTGAATGGAGGCGTTCTTCGTAAGGTTTAGATTTGAGTCCTCGAAATGATTTCGTGGCTCGCCGTTGGATACGCTCCAAAGTGACCTTGTTTTTTTGGAGTGAGGGGGGGAGTACTATGTTTCCGTACTCTAAATGGAGACGGATGAAACTATTGAAGATTGTATGGAAAGTTCTTCCGTCAAACTGGCCAAAAATGCGCTTCAACGTTACCAGTGCAAGGTTTGCTCGGAAGGCATTTTTGTCACAGTTAGCGTAAGACTTTAAATCATGGGGCACCAGGACTCCTAAATCTATTTCGACTTGGGATACTACTAGAGAGGAGTTTCCTAAGACGTAACTGTAGTTTGCGACATGTCGCAGATGGACTACTTTACACTTTGAAGTGTTAAAGGTAAGTCCGTTATCGTCTGCCCAATTTTGAAGTCGAGTCAGATCCTCCTGAAGTGCCTGTATATCGTCTTGGTTGCGTATCTCTCTCCAAAGTTTCACGTCGTCGGCAAAAAGTAATAAATCTGACGTTACCTGTTGAGGAAGATCATTTATGTAGATCAAGAAGAGAAGAGGCCCTAGTACTGAGCCCTGGGGGACCACTAGGACATTCCATAGCCTGAGATAAAGTGAAATTAACCCTAACCTTAAAGTGTCGATTTTTTGGGTATGAAGTAAGCCAATCGATTAGAGGTGGTTTGATACCTAGTCGTTTGAGCTTGTTGATAAGACACCTTATCAAAAGCTTTTGAGAAATCAAGGTAAATGATATCAACCTTCCCCTTGCGATCGAGGATGCTTGTCCATCTGTCCACCGCAGTCAGCAGGTTGGTTATACAAGAGTAACCCTTCCTTAAACCATGCTGTTGGGGTGAGAAGAAATTTAAGGACAGTAGATAGTCGTTTAAGCCGTCGCATATCAGGGACTCCATGAGTTTTGAAGGTAATGACAGAAGAGCCACCGGCCGATAACTTGAAGGTTCATTGCGTCAACCACCTTTGAAAATTGGTGTGATGTGAGCCAACTTCCAATTTTCCGGTAATTTGCTTCGGCTTAGCGAGTGTGGAAACATTACGCTAAGTGGCGTTGCCAGGATTGAGGCTGCCTCCCTCAGTATGGCAGGATGAGCCATATCCGGGCCAGGAGAAGTATCTAGTCTTAAGTGCTGCAATTTCCGGAACACCAAGTCAGCGCTTAGGTCCACTTCGGAAAGTCCTGTGGAATTGCAGATGAAACTGTCGTCGGTAAAGTTGATGTCCGTCGGTTGAAATGTTTGAGATTAATGTGCCGCCAGAAGGTTAGCGGCGTCGCCATCGTTGTTGGTCGGGCCGTTAAGACATAGCAGTTGAGAAACTCCTGTTTTGGCTTGACGAAGAGATGCTGCATAACGGAATAGGCTTCTAGGGTTAGAGGCAAATTTGTCCATAAGCTTTGTCTGGTACTGAAGCCTGTCTTCTCTTATAGCCTTCGTGCATATGTTCCTGATATGTTTATATTGCCTATACGCTCCGTCGTTATCAGTTCGTTTGTATTCCGCCCAACAGTGCCTTTTGCGGCTTAGCAGGCGAAAGGTACGGTTCTTGATTACTGTAGGTGGCTTGCAGCTTTTGGGGACCGTTTGAGGAACTGAATGGTCTGAAGCACATAAGAGCGTGTGCAGTAAGAAGTCCCAATGACCATCCACATCGAGTTGAGGGTGAACATCCCAAACCACCTGTTGTAGATAGTCATGTAGAGCTGGCACATTCAGCCGTTTAAAATTCCAACGCAAAGTATTGTTGGGATACCTTAGCTTAGTTTTGATGACAAAACTAAAGGCTATGACGGCATGATCGCTCTTTCCCAGAGGAGCCAGGATTGAGAGGTCGTCAACTAGGAATTCTTCGTTTGTGAATACACAGTCTAAGCGCGATGGTGTCTGACTGTTTCTCCAACGAGTTGCCGACCTCACATTTTCATATAAGCCCAAATCATCAATGAGGTTGAAGAACCGAGCTTCAATTGAGTTGTCGCCTCCAGTGTACATGTGTTCCGCGAAGTTGACTCTAGGGAGATTAAAGTCCCCTAGAATCAGGATGTGTGTGAAACCGAGACGGATAGAGCGGGATAGTCCTTCCAGCATACGACTATCGTACTCGATGTCGGCAGTTGGCTTCCTGTAAATGACTCCGACTAGACACCTCGAAGTACTAGACAATCTTACAGAGCACTATATGGATTCCTCAAGATTTTTAAACTCGAGGTTGTGAACTTGGTGCACTTACAAACAAGAGCTTATGTATATGGCTACTCCGCCCCCAATTCCTGTTTTTCTGTCGCTGCGGAACAAAGTCATCCCAGTAAATGCTAACTCTTGGTCCGAGAACTGAGAAGATATCCAGGTTTCAGATATTCCTATCAGATGGGCCTTATTCGTGTTGCTAAGTTCACGTAATTCATCCAGTTTGTTTGGTAGACTCGCGGCATTCATGTATAAGCAGTTTATGATTTCAATTTGGAATTCGTGAGCTTCGTCCTGTTTGTCTGTTTGAGCCTTACGTGAATGGACAGGTAGCCCACCTATATGAGGTTTGCCAAGGTGGTAGGCCCTGTCCTTTATACGTTTTTTTATCATTTAGACAGTCCACAAGTGGAATGGTCAGCTCCAACTTGCCTTTGTGCTTGGTCCTAGCTTCATATGGCCTATCCGGGCGCATGTGGATTCCAGGTGGCAATCGGCGTCTGTTGGCACGGAATGCTTCCAGAACTGCAGCCGCCATGTGGGAAGATGGGAAGGTTATCTTCATTAGACGGGGTCTCAGATCACCGTCCTTCTTGGCTAGTCTCGTCACATGCTGAGTCAGTATGTGTTTGAGCCTCAAGGACTGTTTGATGAATTTCCATTCCCTGATGTCAGAATTTGATTGAGTAGGGTCTGCATTTTCCGGTATACCTTGCACAATTATGTTTCTTCCGCGGAAAAACTTCTCGCGAGATTCTTTAGGGATGTTCCGTATGATATTGCGCTCACAGTACGGTATGTCGGCCAATATTCTTACGTTACCATCGGATTTCAGCAAGTGACTTGCTAGCAAGACGTCCTCTACGTCGGTAGCATTCTTAAGTGTTACTCGGAGAAGCCTCGGGTGATTTAGATGCTTAGAATCCTTTCCTCGAGTGAGCCGAGTGACCGTCAAGGCTCTATTCTAGGAAGTCCGAGCTTCTTGTTCAATTCACCCCAGAGCATCCTGTCGTTTTTGTCCTGCAGACTGAGAGTGAAACTTGAAACATCAAACTCTGAGGTCTGCCCATAGATGGTTACACAGCATTTCTGATGGCGGTAGAGAAGGATTCTCATCATTTTTTCTGAAACTGAATGGCAGAACGATTCAAGTAATAATAGTTGGTTTCAGTTTAGAAAGTATAAAAGGATGGGTGTTTTGTGTTTGTCCAGGCAAAAGTGGGTTTTTAGCTGATCCAGCTTTCTTTTTAGTGCATCAGCAGATGGAGCTGCAATCACATATCGGGGTTATGAGTTTTATTCGTTGTTGATTTTATGGGAAAGTCAATTGTCATCCGACCAGTAATTTGGTCTGGGCTTGTGGAAATTCTCAGTTTTGATAGACAAAAATGAAGATGTATCAAGTGGGAATTATTCGTCAAATAATTTGTTAGCTGTGTTTAAGTGACCTATGATCTTTCACTGTGACAAAAGAGATAGGTTAAGCTCACCCAGACTGTCATTATACAAGAGCTTTGCGATTCCAATAATCAGCGTAGGTGTAGATCTTTGAACATTTCCCGACAGCTTACTACTTTCTTTCAGGCAGGGACCAAGTGCTTGTATTTCACATCGGAGTTTAGGACGAACGTATGCTGCATAAAAGGTCAAAAAGCTTTTAGCATCGACATGGTTAAGGGCTCCACGTGTTGACCATACGGTCATTCAGCTTTTGAGATTATTGCAAGGTAGTAAGAAATAGTTTTTAGGTTATGGCTAGGAATAACCTCTAAGTCACTGTGTGTCTGGAGAGTGGGTGACTCAATGTTCTTCACTGATTATGTATCAGTATCTTTATGATCGTGTAGGATTTAATTTGTCCTACAGTTATACTACTAGAACTGTAAACGCGATACTGTCGATCAGGGAGTCCATGTGAAAGCTATAGACAGAACAAGGACAGCTTGGCTTTAAACCTTATCTGTTTGTGAATGTAAAAACAATTAGATTAGTACAATAATTAACGAAATTACAGTCATTAAGTGAAATGAAAAAACATACCGAGCAGTATTGCGTGACTTGTCGAAAATAATAAAATTATGAGTCACATTAACATAATAAGATTATAATGTCTTCCAATTGGTAGGTCACATGCGACAGGGATAGTCTACAGATACATCAAACCAGATCAACGTGGTGGGTGCCTAAACAGCGACTTGACTGGTTAGTTATAGACATAACAAACACTTCCCCCTCCAAGCAAACATCGCACCCAGGCTTCGTTACCGTCGCGCTCAAATAATCGTTCTCTCCCAGTAAGTGTAGAACTATGGTCTACTATGATATTAG